AGGAACGTTATAAACGTTTGATAGCCTGGCCAATCCAGGTAATCCAGTTCAACATACGTTTAAGTTCAGTTCTATGCTAAAGTGAACCTGAAAACTGCCCTGAGTTCCGGTACTCAAAATTTTTTCAAAAGGGTAACTTCAAAACTCCAACGTTTCCGCAAATTAAGGATCCAATAAGCAGGCAACAAAAAGGGAGTAGTTGTTCAGGCTTGCGGAGAGCAACTCATACTTTCAATCGCAGCCAAAATAAAGGACAAATCTCAGAAATTGAGCGTTAAAGTCAGGTGCACTACGGAATAAAAGTGAAATCTGATCATCATTCGAAAGTTCAAGCGGAAAGGGCTTTTTTTTACATAACCGTTCTGATGATATTCATCGAGCATGAAATGTCTCAGTAGTAGATTCATGAATATATTCATTCAATGTTTTATTCCTTGAGTGCCTTCGGCCCATACATTACACCCTTCTTTCTCTTCTGCATAACTGACCGATATAAAAAATTTTGTGCACTAATTGAGTGGATTGACGAATGTATTGGTGTAATGTTACAATGAAATCATTACGATGAACGAAGATATATTCGCTGAATTAGCAAATGACAAAAGTGAGTAACTGTTTCGTCTCACTGCAGATTCATTACGCTGGTAAAGTTTCATCGCAAGCGAAACGCCAAGCAAGGAAAATGGTGGCATATGCTATGAATATGAAAGAGAGCAACGGGATGATAGCTCAGAAAACATATACTGTTCAACAACAGATTCAAACAAAAACAGGTAATGAAAATTTCAAGCTCTGCTTTGAGTCAGTTTCAACAGTGATGAAATTCACTGGAATACATTATCAGTGTATGCGAAATTCAACTTTGCTCCACGGTGTTTGCGTGCTGGGAAACGAGTAAACAGAGAAACTCTATACGCTGGGCAACAGAATTCCCCTCGTTTATCACCAGTACTATCATTATGTCTTCTTTTTTTCAAGAATTCATACTGAATTTTTGCAGCTGTCGAAAGTTGGCCAAGAATACCATACATAGATGAACAAAGCGCAGTGATGAATGATCTATGAAAATTTATTGCGAGAAGATTTGAAAGCGGATAAATTGATACAAACGTTGGGATATTTTCATCATGTACATTTTTCAAAGAATCGAGTGAACTATAAATAATTTACCACAAACAATTTCAAATCGAATCAAACGAACACTGCAAGAAATGTAAGGAAGAAGAAAAATGATACAACAAAACATATAGGAAGGAAGATACTTCAACATGATATTACATCAGATGATAATCTACATAAAAATAGAAGTTTTTTTCCGGAGATCAATTGAAAAAAAATTGTGAAAGAATGGTAATCTCTGACCGAAATTTAATTTTATAACGATGTTCACTAAACTTATCACTATCATGAAACCGGCACATAATTCTTCGAGGATAATACACAAATATGCGAAAAGTCATTCAATTAAATGCAAGATTAGTTTGACAATTTGTAAATATGACCCATCACTGTAGGGTTGGGTTAGGGGCGAAATCTAGCCTGGCAACTCAAGGTTAAGGATATGGACCCTGAAATTTTTGAGAATTGGACGTTCCCGATGCAGTCCTTCATCATTGCCAGGAATAGAATGTAATAGGTGAATGAATTCAAACGCTTCACTCAAAAAAACCAAATCCAAAATTTCCCCAGGGAACACTCAGCTAAATGAACGATTTATGGATGAACATGACCATATTTATATAGACACTGAATGAAAAAGTTTAAATTCCGGATTCAAAAGAAACTTTTAAATCGACGTATCATTGCTGTCATTTTTCAAAGACGAGAACATTTCCTCAGCACTGTGCCACAATTTTTATTGTTACATGATGAAAGTGAAGACAAAAATCTCAACTAACTAAGAATGTTATTTTTCGACGTGAATCTTCAAAATGAGAACGGAACCAATAGTTTCATGCGACGCTGAATTGCATGTAAATGAACATTATATGTATAAATTTTATGATAGGAGAGCTAGAAGCATACATAAAATGAATATAAAGGAATGCATCATGGCTAAAAAAAACAGAACTCAGTTGTCTGGTGAATGGATGCATATTTACACGCCTCATTATAAAACAGAACACGATTACATGATTAAGATTACATCCAAATGCTCAAACGGAAGGAACAACGTGAAGCGATAAACTGAAATGGTTGAACATACACATTGTCATCGACTTTTAATGCTTCCTACATACAAAACAGATCAGCGACAATTAGAATGATTGCTGAAGTTTTTCTCAACTACTACAGCAATAATAAAACCGGATTTCAGTACACATTATTAATGAGCTAAATTCTGAAAACTAACTAGAATTTCAATAGAAAGTAAAAATGCATAACACAATCCGTCATATTCAGTCACGTAATTATTTCTTTGCTCATGTGCATAGATCATGAGTTGTGTTCATCGCTAAGCGTAGGAACTTGAAGATAAATTGAATCTGAAGTGCACACTGAGAGTGAATTTCGAGATAACAACCGAACAGTGTCGTAAATGAATGCCGTTTGAAGATTTCAACTTGTAACGAAAAATAATTTGTCTTTTCGTTGATTGAAATAACAACATCTCCACGAAAAAAACCACCACTGCACTGTGCTTAGATATATGCACATTACCATCCACAAATCAGAGAGTATATTTGCAATGCTCAACCGGGCAGAAATGGTCTCAAACACAAAATAAGTAGAATACAAATTCAATGAAATGAAATTACAGAAGACTGTTCAATAAACGTTAAGATGAATGAGTTCTGGACGATATGACGAAACGACGTTAATAAATGAATCTATCGTAAGAATGCATTTATTCACTGATACAATATGAGTAAACAACCCTTCAGAATAGTACTCAGTCATAGACAACTATAGATTCATACCAAAACAGAGAAACTAAATTAATTCAGAAGCAGTGAACATTGAAAAGTTGAATGAACACATTCAAAAAGTAATGCATCTTGCTCATAGTACAACGAACGACGTAAGTGTTATATGATCATTCAGTTATGCATGGAATTGTTTACAAATAACTTTGACTGTCATATAATAAAGGTAATAATAAGATTAAAAATTATATTAAAAGTAGTAACAACAATAATCTTAAAAATCAATGTTACAGATACAGACAATATCTAAACCTAGATCGCTAACTTAAGGGGTTGTTGCACATTCAAAGTATGATTTTCTAACAAAAACATCAAACGTTTGTTCGATTGAACGGATTGACCAAGCACACTTTGAAACATCAGTTGTATTCGGCAATATTCACTTAGGACTTATCTCTTGAAAGGCTAAGATAAGTAAAGTTAACCAGAAAACAATACAAATCAATGTTTATCAACAATCGTATGCCCACAAATTTTGTGCTGTTTTTGTCCTCCGTGCATCATTTCAACGGTTTCAATTATCAAAAATTGCTTGCAGAAATTGGACGATAACTGAGTAGCCTAAAAAGTATTTACGAAAACAGAAAGAGATGTTAGTTTGTATTATTAATTTCTCAAGCTCCTAGATTAAAACGTGAACAGGGTTTTCGTCACGGAACTTTCCATCTTCCCAATAGCGTTGTGATGATTAACAATAAATGATGAAAGAGTCAAGTAATTGTTGATGCATCCATAGTTCGCAAATGAGCACATCTAACCGATTATTCTGTCACTGAACTTTGTAACTAACCAACCTGAACGAGATTCTCATCCACAAAGCAAAAGCTTCAGTGGAAAAATGTTTGCATATTAACACGGAAGCACTTTCCATTTCACAAGCTAAAGCTTAATCGATATTGCCTGATACTTAGATTTGGCATAAGAATAGTAACAATAAAATGATTTTTAGTGCTGCTGATTGTTCAATTTCAGCAAATAATTGAGATCAGCAGAAACATTTTTTCGAGACTTTATACAAGAAATGGAAAACAAGAATGGCAAAGAGACTTGAACAGAAAATGAACGAAACGCATCATGAATTAATGTTGTTGGTGAAATGATACTGTGAATTTCTTTCAACGAACGTCGTCTATTGGACGCATTGTTTCTGTGGATACATGTATAATAATCAAATTCGAAGAATTGGCCACTCAGCTTCCAGAACTAGCGATACGTGAATGCATTGAGGATCGCCAATCATCTGCAATGCGACAAGGTGATACTGACAATGAACATTAATTTCACATTAAAGATAAATTGAAATTTGAGCCTAAACAGTCGAATCAATGGTCGCTAGAAGACGGCAACAACGAGGTGTGAACATGATTCTGTGCTGAGTTCCATGAGATTTCTTTACATGCTCTATGCCAGTGTTTCTTGAGGAGGTAAATTGCCCTCTGCGGGCAATTAAGATCAAAAGAAGTTGTTAATAAATTCCAATTTTTTACATTGCTGACGAAGGCTTTTTTCCTAGTTAATTAAAGTTCTGAAATTCTTTTACTCCAGAAAACTAAATTCCTTCACAGCACCGAGGATTTTCCGGACTGGCTTCGATTTGCTGTTGATGTTACGCGCGGGAATAACAAATTCTTCTAGTGGTGCGGAGGTGTAATGACGGCTTGCCGGAGTATCGAAACGAGCAATGCAGTTAGTTTCCATTCGTGAGAAACACTGCTCTATACGAATACTATACACCACATTTGGATGCAAAACCGGGATATACCTCTAAGATTTTTCTGGATCTTCAACAGGTCCTAATGTATGCCACTGAGCAATCGGTCGACGCGGACTTGCCAACATATCCATCCAGTGTCTTAGCTCAGCACCAGTTGCTGAGCAACCCAATAAGCATCGACCAATCGCGTCATTCGAACCAAGCTTATCGTAATCCATCACAGTGATCATTAACGAAACCTTCTGCAACAGCATCACGATTTATCATCTCTAAGCCCTCTGAATTCGAAGGACTATTCAATAACAACTTTCGGTATGCTTATGAGTATTCATTTAATTGGTAAAAACGCCCCCATGAAACTCACTTTATCTCAAAATTTTTGGAAATGTTTCGCAGAAATTGCGAGAGCCCATGTACTAGAATGAAATTACAGAAAATGTGAAGTACTGGATCAACGGGAATTTAAACGAGGAAGGGACTCTATTCAAATTGATAATTTGAACAGCAATATAAACTCAGAAACATTCATCAATAACGTTTTGAGGGTATGCTCGTTAACAGGGAACAATAAGGCATATAAAATGAAGAAGTAATTGGAAAACGCATTCAATGAAGCTGATCCTATTCAATAAATATGTAAAAAACCTGAATCTGTTCGAAAGGAACTTCGAATGAAAACGATTCATTGTAATATGGATTGAGTGTACATTTCTTAATACTTGTTTTCTTCTTTTTCAAACGTTTACCTCCTTGCAGCAGAACGATTTTCACGTACGGATCTGGAAATGGATTAAGCATAACAAAGTAGTAACTGAAATTCTGAAGTAAAGTGAGGAACACAATGAAATTAACATAGCACTGATGATTACAAGCTGAAACTTTTCGTTCATCGCCACATTTTCAGAGAAATTAGGAGATAGAAAATTGTTGTTAGTGAAAATTACATAAAGAAAGAAAAAAATTAAAGAAGTTTGCAGATTTTTCAGAAGTTCAGAGAATTTTCACAATTTCAGAATGTTAAGGAAAAAATTTTTATAGAAAAAAGATAGAAAATTATTTCAGAGAAGAAAATTATTGTTAAAGACTGCTTCATAAACAGCCGGTCTGATGTTCAGTTTAAGGGTAATCGAACTCTGATTAGAAAAACGCAATCATGAGGGAATACTGACTCAAATAAAATCAATTTGAGATCATTTGTACGAATGGACGAGTCTTACTTTCGAACTCATCCGTCAAGGTGTTCGAACTACGATTTTATTTTCTTTCACTAGAATTTCTTACATACTGAATACCGCTTTCGCGACCCTGAATAATGCCGGAACCTAACCATTACACAGACAAAAATCATGCTGAATTGAAACAATAAACTGATATATGAACGACAAAATTGAATCGTATTGGGATGCCATTATGATAAAATACCTGAAAGTCCACCCACATCCATTTTTTTGAGATTTTTCGCTTCCAGTATAACAACAGTCAATTTTCCAGCCGTTGGAACGTACCTCAGTGAAAAGCAGATGTCGCCGAGACTCTTTTCCTTGAAATATATGAAACTGGTTGGTTCCAATTTATAGAGGAAGATTCATGCATCGATGAATATACATTCAAATTGTTTTGTCAGGAAACAGATCGGTGTTGACAAAGGATTCGAAACATCATCACAAATATCAAAATTAAAACGAATCATTCATACTAAAAGACCGGATCTGTTGAAATGTGGGACCAATAAAACGAGCTTACAGCTTCTTTGTCGTCTGGTGGTGGAGCAATATCTTTCCATTCCTCAATCACTTGGCCAAGATCAATTTTACCGAGTGGAATCAAAACCTGTCCGATTTGATCATGTTTCGAGAATCGATCGAAATCATAAATGGCGAATACCAATGTCTTGTTCGTTATTTCATTGAATGGCACCTTAATCAAGTGACATCTACTAACATCATATGTTTATTCAATAAAAATTTGTCCATTCATCTACCACTTTTCAACTCACCACTTCGTCAGTCGAAACTAACGTGGAACAGGTAAACACATGTGATAAAAGCGATGTGTTACAATAGCTACCAACCCCTTACTCTGACTACCATTCAAACGCAACAATAATTCCTCACTTTGCCTATGAGCTAGAAGTGGTGCATTCTTAATGTCACAATTAATATTCACATATACACGTCGCCTGTTTTTATTCGTTTATTCTTATTTCGTTTATCTTCTTGCTCCATGTTCGGCAAAATGATCTCGCCAAGTATGCCAAATAACTGTGCCTTGTGGGTGGCCTCAACATAGCTTGAGGAATCTTTCTCACCTAATAAATCACACGGCAGTTCATCTTTATAATGCACTGAGCATATAGGCAGAATAAGATTTCGAAAGTCGAGTTATTTCTTCTAGAAATACCTTGCATTCAGCATTAATCGCATGCTGACGTAATTACAATAAACTGCATTACATCAACGCTCATGTGTTAGTTCAGTTTTCATTTGTTACAGACAAGAAAATGCGCATTAAATGGTACACACTTACAATTAGTGCGACAGTTGAATGCCACAATCAGTGAAAGTGAAAGATTGTGAATCTTATCTGGTGAAAGTCGAAGCATTAGTTAGAACCAGGAAAGCACGTTTGGAGTGTGTGCAAATGTGCCATATTAGAGTATACTGATATGTTAAATTCAATATGCTGATAGAAGAAGGGAACAAATTGCCATTTTCGGTACATTTGACAGTTGTGAATTTTCTGAACACTAACCTTGAAGATGAATGTCTCATTGAAAACTGGATTCAGTGTCTTTCTGTGAACTTTTGTTTCCACTTTCTTTTTCTTCTCTGGGAGTAAATAGAGTTTGACATATGGATCTGAAGTACCGCTCATGTCCATGCCAGGAAGGTCTTCAGCTTGAATCACCGAGACTGCTAACTGCAAATCTCTGATCAGATCAGCTTTGACCCAGAAAGATCACATCACACATAATAGAGAACACTTTAAGCTCGAACTGCCACAGTATGTAGCAGAAAATATCTTCACTGGAAGGAAATTTTACTAGCATAACTCAACATCGTCAATCGAACAGAAATCGCTAGACTGTCGACAACGACTCATACCAGCGATGCTTCATGGACAGTTCACTCAGCAAATTTTCATAAAATCTTCAAACGATTTATACACATCCAAAGTTCAAGGCAAGCCACTCTTAGGTCCTGGGCTTGCCGTAGTTAGAACTATGATTCTAAGGAGATTTGATGAAATCATGCTCTCATTGAAGAACAAGCTGAAAATTGGAGATTTTTTACTGAGATACACAATCAAGTCGGGAAAAAAACAAGCCAGCTCCCTCGAAATCAACATGAACATTTTGGATCAGTAAAATTACTCCCCATGCAAATACCACAGTACAGCATTCATCGATCAGCATTATCTGAAGCGGTTAATGAACCGCAGTCTCATGATTTGGATTATACTTTCCTTCTCAATCTATGCAGAAATTTTTCGGATGAGTGCTGTCAAAGAAGTATTCAAAACACACAATGATGCGTTCAAAAAGTTAAACGCTCGACGAATGAATTTGCGGGATATTCGCAAAATGCATAATTTTGTTTTTGTTGGAATTGGAAAGCGATTACCTGATTCTGCTGAAAATCGTAATCCAGTTTGTACTGAATTCTCCCCAATTTGACCTAAAATTGCAAGTATTCAATATGCTTTTCCGACTGCTATGAAAATTCTATGCAAACATTCCATTTACGAATTCATTCCAGCTGAACAAATAAGCAAATATCTGCTTCGAAATTATTTTCTCATTTTTTCCATATCAGTTTTATCGAGTGAAGTTCAATCGATAAAACGACGACGGTAAAAATTAATTTGTGTGATAGCTAGCGATTACCTCTTCCTTTTGTTCCGCTTGCTCTTTCTCGTTTTCTTCCATATTTTCTTCGAGAGCCTCAAGGTCGGGTTGTAACTTAAATGTTAATATGATTACGAGATATTCAACTGTGACAAATTTCAGTGATGCTGCAACACTGACGTCTACAAGCTTACAGCTAATGCTTTTCTTTTATTTTGGCACTCCGGTCACATTCATATGATAGTCCAAAATTGATTTTGAATGTTCACTTGCTGTCAGTTTGAATGAGAATAATCACATTCAATAAGAGTCAGTCCCTTTGAATGAAGTTATATTTACGTAATTGTAAGGAACACACTTATTTCCGAACATTTTATACTCAATTTTGCCTCAGTGCAGAATTTGTCTTCAAAGACGTCACAATACTATCATCTCATAACATTTCAAATTGAACACAGCTTCATGACTGCTCACAATTGTCCTCCTAGCACATTTGAATCAGTTTCCTTAAAATGTTCAATTTATATTCGTGACATGCCACAAGCATCTTATGGTTCCATCTCAAGTGTGACAGTACATTTTCTCAATACGTTTCTGTAGTCACATGGAATGACACTCATAAAAATGTGCGAGTGAAATTGAAATAGATTGCTGAAATAATCACTGATGAATTTAAAGAATTTAAGTATCACTCAGGTTCAGGCAGTTTCACCTCAGAACAGCTAAATAAGAATCATAACAAAAAACTCGAGCTCTTCACTTTTGCTTTATCGATTGTGACCAAATCAGCGCCTTTCCCACCGAAAAATCCTTTCAGACTCTTTTTGTTCTTATCACCATGTCGCTTCTTACCGAACAACTTGCGAATACAAACGAATGCACAGCAAAGCACAATTGCCAAGCACAATATTCCGAAGATGACGAAACCCCATTCTGGCACTGCAAGCAAATCATACAACGTTACGTGAAAATTTCAACTTTGTATCTAAGGAGAACACAAATTCATTAGAGCTTTCAAATCCAATCCTATATTTACGATTTCAAAAAAATTTTATTTCGCTTTTGCATCAATAAAACATTACTGCAATCAAGCGTTGTCGTGAAAATTATCTGTAAGTTTACGTAGTGAAAATATCAACCAATTAAAAATGCTTTCAGCTTTCATATCATTACATTAGAAAAAAATTCGGTTTTTTGAAAAGATTCATTATAAGTGTTATTCGATGACAGCCCATAACCTTTGTAACTACCCAAAGTTCGAATTTTGTGACACGTAATGAGAATTTTCTACGTAAATTCTCGCCCAAAGTGAGCAATCGAGCAAAAAGATGTCGCATAAAAACAAAAACATGAACTGAAGTGGCAGTACTGGAACATTATCAAACATAAAAACTTGTGAAAGAGGAGTTTGTAGGATCTATAGAATAACTCGTCTGATTTGATGTCAAAAAAACTATAGGAAACTTTATTTGTTCAAAATGAAATTTCAGTCATCCCATGAGTCAAAGATAGATGCTCGTTCATCTTTGAAAGCACAGAAGGTTGTCAAAATTGCTGCAACAAATCAGTCGAAAAACCAATTACTTACTTCCCGTTTTCTCCATGACTTGCTTCTTTGCGATATCAGTAAGGGTCCTCGCCTTATCTCCAACGAAATTCACTACCGCATCTTTCATCGACTCTTTCGTTGTTGTCGGTATTCTGTAAGCGTTTCGGTAAACATACTGATAGTTTTTATGTTAATTGTCCGAAAATTTCAAGGTGAATTATGATTGTTTAAGTGCAGTTGTTATTACGTAACAATTTTAGTCGATCAGAATTTATGGGAACGATTACAATGCAATGAAAATTTTTACTGTTTTATCTGTTGGATCTCTGAAGCATTCGCTTAAGTTACGATTGATAAAATTACGCCAGTGATTTTGATAGCTTCCATTATTTACATAATACAATAGGAAATAACTGAAAAGGTGGCTAAAGAGAAAGAACAATTCAGTTTTGTATATGTTGTTTTAATTCATCTAATCTGAGAAGGAAACTGTTCTGATAATACTGAAGAACAATTAGAGAGAACAATCTGATGATTATGTTACTGGATGTAAAATGTCTTAAATACTGTGTAACAATATCTGAATTCAAGCATTCATTTTACGGTAATATTTCAAATTCAATGGTGCACTCTCACGGAACGAGTCTAGACAATAGGATGCTCTTTGATGTGCGATGGCATAATTGCACATCTCGCTAAATAACTCCGACTCGAAATATTTTGTTTAGAATGAATACCTTGATATTAATTCAAGACAACTGTTCCATCAAATTCAATTTACGCTTATTGCTGAAATTTACGAGAACACAATCACTGCACGCCTCCAATTTTGCTATCCGATATTCATCACTCGTTTTTGGGTTTGAACATGGATTCAAATCTTGTTGAGCAGGAATATTCTTTCATAGCGACTGCGACTGAATGTACATTTCATAATCGTTTAATCACACAGAAACAAAATGTTGCTCAGCTACAGTAAGAAACACTTCCAATTGCACAATTAAAAACTCACGAAAACGATATTTTGTAAATGAGAGCAAAGAAAGAAATCAAAAAATTGTATGATTATAAAGGATTATATGTAGACTCATGTGAAAGATTCGATTGCATTAAATACGGGACACTGCAAGATGATGAAATAAAGGAAAAACTGAAAGAAAATTGACAGCATATCCATGGTTTTTGATGAGGCAGTTTATAACATCAAAATGCACAAGCAATTCTCTGAGTGCATTAGCCAGTTAATTAGTTATGAATATTAACGAAATTACTGAATTCTCAACACAGCGACAATATTAGCTAAATTATAGGACGTGCACTAACGCCGAATACTAATAAGTTTAATGAAGGGCTTTACTTCTTGATTTGGAGGGCTTTACTTCTTCAGGTCATTATATACTAGACACTTGATCATATTACAGCCTATTTATCATATTTATATTTACTACTGTACCATAAATATTTCGTCCCATTTCAATTTTTATTGAAGACACTGCTTTCGTCCAACAGATAACGCCATCGAACCAGAAAACAAATCTACCAATGATTCATTTCAAGCACGAAAAGAGAATAATATTATAATTGATATAGCTGCCATTGCTGTTTCTATCACTGCTTTCCGTTGAAAGTGCTAGTATTTTGAGTCTTGTTATGCTGGTATTAAGATCAATTATAGAACTGCATTATCACTGTTACTTCGGCATCCATGTTTAAGGCAATGATCATATGCAAAAATTCGTTTCGAACGTTAATATGTGCAAACAGACAACGAACGACAAAAATTTTTGAATTTTCTAAAAGAATATCAAATATTCACAATTCGACTGCAGTTTTATTGTTCCGCGATTGAATGCATAAAACATTCGAATATGCTGACAATATCCCGAGAAAAGACAATCATTTTCAATTTTTTTCCCTTACAGATTCGAAAATATTAAATCAAAAAGTATTCCAACACAGTATCGTAAAGCAGTGAATCAATCCATGGAAGTGCTACTATGTGAAAAAGATTTTTAGTGTAATCAGACTGAAACAGCAAAGTGTGTCCATGATACCCAACTCCTGACTAATTCAATTATTTCTTAGACTATTCAAACGCAAATGCATCACTAAATTCAAGTGACAAAAGCTTTAAAGAAATAATGATAGCCACAAAAAAGATGGGAAAGCATAACTAAAGCAGCGCTTATGAATCAGTTACTATGGGTATGATTTGGAGGGCCTTACTTCTTCAGGTGCTTTATTGGGAAAGTTCCAGTTGGCTGATACGTTTTTACACGGTCTTTACTCGTCGGATATATTTTTAAATGTGTATCTGATCTGTGATGTTCATCATCAAATGTTTGCACAGTGTCAGTGAAAGCATTCATCATTAGATGTCTGTATCGTCAAAACGCTCATCATTGAATGTTGACACAGTATTTAGATCAACATGCTCGAAAGCATCTGTACCAACAAAAGTGTGGTGTCATCGTGTCGTATTATCTAGTGCAACCGTTCAGAATTTACCTTCACCGTCACAAAAATAAGCAATTCGTTTAATGAAATAAATGCCAATACGTTTTGGTACTATTTGAGGCAATTTTAAATGGAAGAATCAATCAGCTATTCCACCATGTGTACTTTTAATCAAATGATTAACGGACATCATGGCGATTTTGATTAATATTCAACCGATTACGCCTTACGCACCGTCACTTTGAATGTAAAATCAGCGGTGACTTTGTTCGAGAATTCATCATGCCCTCAACTCCGCATAGTGCAACACATCAGTATTTCAATCTAACCTTCAAATAATGTGATTTGTTGTTTGCTATCTGCGGTTTTGGTACACCGCTTAAATAAACTGCAATAGTGCACTGCCTTTTGTGAAAACTTCATTTCAAACATTTCAACATTTCCTCCAAACATCGACAAAAGATACTTGTTATTACTTGCTTGCTTTCCCACAAGATTTGATGAAGGAAGGTTATATGATCCCTTCAGTAATTCTGTAGAGCAACGAATCACTCAGGATTTTCAAAATTCGAAGCATGAACATTGCAGCAGCATTAACCCGCCTTCTCAACTTGACAAGATAACACAAATCCAAATATTTACTTCAGCATTCATGGCTCATCTTCTTAACCTATCCGCATATTAGTGATGAAATTATTTGGAAGCAATATTACAGCAGAGAGAATATGACGGAACTCATTCAAAACTGATAAGGAATGATACAAAGGACAGCGAAATTTTAATGAATCGACAGTAAAAAGAACGAATTGCAGAGAATCCCAACGGTTCAAAAGAGGAGCAGCGAGAGAATGGACATTCACAAACACCTTACGTTGTTGCTTCTGTGGTCGTTGTTGGTGTAGTGGTGGTCGGTATCGCCATAGGCTGCTCTGAAGGTGCATGTTCGAGATTCAGTTCAGGATCTGATTCAGTATCGCCCAAGTCGATTTTCACCATATCGAGCTCGGGTCTCTATTGCGTTAGATAGTCAGCAGTCACTGCAAAGCGAACGGCTCAGTCGTTGATAAAAGTTGAATGGTTCATAAATTATGAACGATTCAAGAACCTGAAACTTCGAAGGCAACAAAAGAAAGATCCCAATCAAAGATAAAAACAATCCTTAATGCGTTCTCAGAATATACGTCAGTGGTTGTGTTCCTTCGCTTTTGCATACATACCACGCATAAAAACATTTTGCATGCAAATGGGCAACGAAATGTTCCATTCTCGAACGGAATGCTATGAACATGAATAAACAAAAGGAGCACTAAGAGATGAATGGAACGATAGTGACTGTGATGATAGGGCCGAGTTTCGTTTGGGCAAGCAAACACACTACCAACAATTTGAACAGCGACTAAATTCGCCTAATCTGAGTACTACTAGTTCAGCACGTCAGCACATTATTTATCATTTGACGGAATAGCTTAATGAAGGCCAGGCGTTGTCGAAAAATCAAAGCTTCGAAAGCTGTTCAGTTACTCACGAAACAGTTTTTTGCTATCATAAATAATTGAAGATGGAAATTATTTTGAAAATTCTCTGCAGAGCGATCTGATACTGATGGGAAGGGAATGCAAGAATGCAGAGTTATCATTGTGAGAAGTGAACCATATCCCTGAACAATTCTAAATTAATTTCGCAAGTTATTCAAGAAACCTAGACCGATGTCACCTCCGATTTTCAGTTTGCATACGTTACACAGCTTGAAATTGCGTAGGAGACATGCGTCACTCGGCATTTCGACACGCAATACGAATGTCGATAAAAATGCAACTGATTTCAGGTCATTCCTTCGATTTATGCAGAAGAAAATACGTCTCGTTCGTTCGCTTTTGAACATTCTCAACGGAACGGGACTAGAGAGGATGATATCATTTCTGTGTATGGTAGAGCAGATTTGAAATCTGCGATAGTCGTTGTGCTCTTTAATTTCTCAGCTTTGTTTAAGCGGATTCCAGATGGAACGAAGTTCACATTCGACGCATGCGTTCACATTCGAAGTTCACACAGTTTAGCACCGCAGACAACGCATTTCGTTGCATTGCTGTTTGCTATGATAATCCACATTCTGAGCATGAACCTCTTGCACCCACAGTGCGCATGTTGTGCAATAACACTAAAAGACGAGTAGCTAAAAGAGTGCTCATTCATGTATACATTATGACTAACATTAAATACACTCATCAAGGCTTTGAATTCAGGGCTTAAACTAACTTAGGCTTAAACTAACCGAATCGTTTTTGTTTATATTCAATAGTCTTCAAAGGTGCTATTTGAAGATCAGCATTCTAATGATTCGTGATTAAAGAAAAGCTAAACTTTCTGCATTCAAACTTCAGTAAATGTGGGCATGTCCCTCTCAATAATTTCAAAAGGAACACCCTGATACACCAACAGTTAATATTAGGTTTATGCTGCTCACAAAAATAGCAATTCAAACAAACAAGCTTCTCTTCATTACAGGACAACTATTTGGAATAGCGCATCAAATCATACATCTCCATCTCACCAACAGACCAATATTTCCGCAAAAATAAATGAACTAATAAAAATTTCGCAATTTGTTAGGCTTGAAATGTGAAAAAATTATAGCGACGAAGTAAATGAGCTAGAGCTTAGATGTAGAAG